TATATTACTGGATTTTTTCTGTACTCATAAATATGTGTATATATGTGGTATATGTAAAGAAAGGTAATAGTTATATTAAGGAAATTATTAATTATTTATTGAAATAGCTCTTAGGAATTATAATCACTATTGGGCATAGTTATGTGAAGGAAGTTAAAAGTGAATTAAGATAAATTGCTTAAATAATTTTGTAAGTTGTCCCAGGACCAAGTTTAGGCATGCAATTCAAAACTGTATATTTTGACATATTTGTGGCTGAAAAAGTTACACTCATAGGTCCTTTTTTCCTTCACAAATAGGGTATGTTGTAAGCTGCTTGTGCCATCAAAACTGAAAGCTTTAAGAGCTCTCTCTTAAGGTAGGAAACAGTATATGTTGGAAGGCAGAAACCCTGGATGTGATTTAGTGCCCACCGGTAATTCGTACACATTTTGAAAATCTGTCATGGTATATGACAACTCTCTCGGGTGGTTTGCTTTTAAAACAGAATTGTTTTCTGAAGATGCTATGTTTTTTGTCATTGTTTTCGGTTTCATTCACTCATTTTTCAGCATTAGAGACCACACATACTGGGCATACTTCTGGTCTCATTCTCACCCACGAAATTCTGACTTCAGTAGAGTTGCATGGGTGTAAATTAGACTAGAACTTGGCAGGAGAAAGCTTATGATTATATTTGGCAGAGGCAGCAGGCTGCAACTTTATTAACATAATTAACAGCTACAAACACACCCAACAGGCCAAAGTAATCCAGTGACAGAAGAGAGAAGGTCTTTGTAGGAAAGGATCATTCACGCTTTCTTTTGGTGTTCTGCTTCTTGTTACTGAGTTCCTACTAAGGCCTGGAGAGCTTTCAATTGAGCTGTAATTCAAATTCATACGGCTCCTACACGACACCTTGAACAGACTTTTGCTGATGAGTCTATAGGAACTGTCAGCAATACCGAGATTACTTCAGAAGCGCGATGGTTGAATTGAACTTTACTTTCTGATGTTTTGCTTTTTGAATTAAATTGTTGGACAAGATTAATTGCACGCAGTAAGAGATTTAAATGAATAGCTTTATAAAGCATTAAAGTTCTAAGTATGTCACACAGGAAAAAAGCTGTAAGGTTTAAATGAATAAATGTATTTAATGCATAAAATGTCTAGGCTAATTTTTTAATTCCTTTACTAACATCTTTTATTGAAAAAACATACTTTATTCATCCATCTTAGTTATACTGCTGTGGTTGTGGTAATTTAATATTCCTGCTCTTCGCTAATCTTCTGGTTCAACAGAAGTAAACAATAGGTTTCATAAATTAAAAATATGCTCTTCAGAACATGCTTCTAAAGATAAAAAACAAGGCTGTAAACATTTATGACTGAAACAAACTAGATTGTTCAAATACTGCCATGATGTATCATGTATATCAATATGGCACTGATATCAGTTAGAATGCAAACAAGGTTTTAAATGATGTGCCCCTTCATTTCAGCTGGAGAATCCGCTTTACACCATCTGCCTATCAGATGGTTAGGAACCAGGACTGCGTATTAATGCCACATGTTCGATTTTCTTTCCTCTTGTAATGGTTAGATTCATATTGCTAATAGCTGTGCATGAGCACTGTCGATGAAATTTGTGTGACGATGGAGTGATGAGATATTTATAAAGCTGCCTGTCTCACTGCATAATCAGCAGGAAGAATGCCAGACATAAACAACTTATCAATTTCAGAATATTAATGACAACTACCATTGACTTTAATCCATTGAATATTTTGGCCTGGATACTTTTTAGCTGTTCAAATAAATATTTGTTAAGAATAAAAAATATCTAAGTGGCTGTTTGGTGTGATCCTTATTTCATTAATTTCAGTTGCCTTTATAGATGACTTCTGATTATCTTGTATTTGAAGATAAAATTTCTGTAGTGTAGAAAAGTGTTCACCTCAGAAATTCCTTGGCTACTTGTTGTAAGAGTAAAGTGATATTAAATAATGTTTAGATCAAAGGCTTTTTTGAACAATAAATTAAAAAAAAAAAATCCCAAGTATTTACCCAAGTATCTACCCATACCTGAACTTTATTAGTATTTTCAACTATTTCAGCTAATAGATACATAGCAGCTAGTGAGATAAGTTGGGCCCTGTGCTAGAAAGGATGTTTTGTCTTGTACCATACATACCATACACAGTGCACCAGTGATTATAATGCAAGGGGCTCTAGTAACTGGCTCAGGACTTTCCTTGCCACTTGCTTCGCTATATCGTGACAGTAAAGTGGTAGGAGAAAGTAAAGCAGAAACTGTGCTGTAGGCTGGAGTTGCTGTGAGGAACAGCATTAAACTATAATTCTGAGGATTATTCCTTACTCACATTTCCCCCCCACTTACACTGGTTATATGAGGCACTCATTTCAGATTCATATAGTTTAAATTAATTGCCGTAGAGCAAAGTAATCATTTCAATCACTTATGCAGTTGTATCAGAGAAGGAGTGAAATTAGTAGTTTAATTTCTGCTTTTTTAAATTATCATTTATTATCACAAGCATTATCTCGCAAAAATCATACTACAGAACTAAGCAATCTCTATTTTAGTTTCCCAGTCCCTATCCAGAGGTTATGGCTTCCTCTACAGAGAAGCATTATGGCTTACTTTGGAGAGAAGCACCAAAGCATACTGGTTTGCAAATTATGTAGCAAAAGAGAGTTTCTATTTTTAGTGTTTCTGCAGTGGGCTCACAAGTCCTATGTCCCGTGTCTGTTTAATAAGGTATTTATTCTAATACTTGTAAGCACTTAAAAACTGCTGATCTGGAAGTGCAGTCACAGCCAAAAGTTTGAGGCCTGCTGTTGTATTCATTGGTTATATTGTATTTGAATATTCCTCCAAAGGATTGTTCTTTAAAGATGCTAGTTTTAGCTTGTAAGTAATGTATATATATATTAAAAAAAAAAAAAAAAAAAAAAAAAAAAAAGGAAGTGTAGGTTGTTGTATTGTTTAATGAACACAGGATGCAAACCAAAGTTCAGAGGTGCACCATTCCTTTTTCTGTGGCCTAATTTAGGGACTGTAACCAAATTTGTATAATGTATAACTTCATATCCTTCCTCTAAGGTAAAAATATCATTGGAAGCAATCCATGTTATTGTCAATACCTTCTTTGGATCAGAACATGCACAATTTGTAATAGCCGTGGAAACTAAAATAAAATTAAACCCTTGTATTTATCTACCTTCTGATTTGATTTTTGGTATTTGGTACATCTTATTCTACCTGAAATAGCAGTTTTCTAAATAATATTGATCTGCCTATGCAAAATATATTTATCACATACTTGGTAATTCTCATTGCACTTGGAGGTGGTAGAAGTCAGCCTGTGAGGAGGGTTGGAAGGCTGGAACTGTTCGCTAATCTTTATGTGGTCATGCAAAGAAATAAGGGAAAGCAACCTTGAGTCAAGCTGTAATATATTCAAAGGCACCTCTTATGGCTACCTTATTGCTTTCCTGTTATCTGTTCACCTTCTGCCTTCTCCCCATTGGGTTTTGACTTCTGTCCCTCCCCATCGTTAGCCAAAAGCATGGCACGAGTGAACTCATTTTCCATTTAAGGAGTCAAAGAGACAACACAAGAGGGCCTTGGAAGCAATGTTGGTAGCAATATTTGCCTCAGCAGCCTGGGATTATTTGCTTATTGGGTCTTTCCTACCAAATTGCACTATTTCTATGCTGGCAGGAGTCTTGGCCCACTAGAACAGTAAATTGTGGACCTAATTCCTCTTGAGATCCATAAGACACTTCACACCTCTCAGAGTAGCTGAAAACCAGACAAGCAGGTGCCTTTAAACCAATTACACTGAGTTTTTTCAAGCCTTCTCCATAGTCAGGGCAATAATCTTGATTCAAAATGACTGAGGGTCTTTCTCTCCTCTTGTGGCATCACAGGCTGAGATTGCATATAATGCCTTCTCTTTAATTTCTTTTAATTATATCTAATTTCCATCTTTGCCCCCCTGGATCAATCACGTGGGGTAGCCAGCTCTTGTGAAGTTTTGACACTGACTTCTGTCTGCTGCCATCCAGGCTGGGGCAAAGGGATCTGAGGGTAAAGGGATCTGACTGGGTAGCAGCACATTTTGGGGACTGCAGAATTATCCTGCCTCAGGGAAGAGGGCAAAAACATATGCTTATGACTTTGATTAAAGGCTGTATCTAATTTTGCGTTTTAAAGGACTGTTTTAATGGACTATTTCTCTAATTGCTTTTGACAAAGAGAAACCTCATTTTTGTAGAACGTTCTTGTGAATGGCTGGATGGCAGAAATTTGGTTTAGTTGGAAGAGCACTCGGATTGCCTGAAGGAAGCTTTGGGATTGGGATTAAATGAGTTTAATACTTCCTCTTCTCACTGATAAATACCTTAATGCCCTGAAGTTTGGGGGAAGCAAAATAAATAATTTACCAAGTACTAACCTTTCTTCTAAAAACAGTTCCTAAAATGACCACATCTCCTTGCTCTTTTGTGTGAAATGAGAAGTAAATGTCTGAGTTCTTTCATTTGTTACTCATAAATAGAAACTATAGACCATTTTTTTCTGGGGTTTTAAGATTTTCAAATGTCTAAGCGTTTGAGATCTAAAAGTTTGGGTTTTTTTTCTATGTACAGATATGTACTGTTCACCTGTTCATACCCAGACACTTATGACAACATTTTTGAAGCTAAGTTAGATTTCTGAAAGCATGTATTTGTACCTGCAGTTAGTTATGATATGTATTATGACTGCAGTTACTGGATACCAAGTTAAGATTTAGGTGGATCTATATGATAACTCACTAAATGTGGAACATTTTACTTGGAAAAGTTGATAGCTTTCAAATCTAAGAGGAATAATAATCTGCAGTGTTCTCCATTACATAGCAAGCATAAAGGAAGAATAACAGTCTGAGTCCGTACAATAATGAAGAATCATAGGATAATGCATATTAAATTTTCTTCATACTTCTTTGCAGGCCTGACAGCAGCAGCTGCAGCGGCAGCAGCTGCCACCAATGCCGCCATAGCAGAAGCAATGAAAGTGAAAAAAATTAAATTGGAAGCTATGTCCAACTATCATGCAAATAATAACCAGCATGGAGCAGACTCTGAAAATGGAGATCTGAATTCAAGTGTCGGTAAGTCTCAGATACAGCATTATTGTACGTTGATAATGCTCTGATTTTTTTTTTTTTTTTTGTTTTTTAAATGGTGATCCTTCTGGACTTCCTTCTGAAGTCCTTGATTTGGTGTAAAAATTTGCATATTTGTTTTCCTTTTCTTATTTTTAGTTTTGTTTTGTATCTGGCCTTTACTCCAGCGTTCAGTGTTGTTGTTAGTATAACAAAAACATTCTTTCCTTTGCAGGTTACTTTTGCAGACTCCAGTTAATATTTTCCATGAAAGAAAGTGGTTTGATTGCTTAGAGTTCATTTTTCAAAGTACAGGTGGGGTGACAGATGATGGTGTCAAAGTGAAATTTAACAATGTCTCCTGCTCAGTGTGCTGGGTATCGACTTTAGGTAATTCAGAACACAAGCTTGAAAGCAAAATATTTCATACTTTCATGTGCCCTGTGACAAAAGGAAAACATACATACACAATAAATTATTGCCATGCTCTGCAGTTCCTATCATATTTTATTTTAATAAACACATTCTTAAAATGTAGTTAACAGGTTTTTCCATTTCTTAAGCAGCCATCAGCAACTCTTGTTCTTTCTCAAAAAAAGAATCGTTTCAGTATACTTTATTCATTTGTTTGGACAATTTGTTTTGCTAAAGCATACTTCAAAGCTAGAATAACTTTTTGTTGTTGTTGATTAAATCTTTAATCATCTGTGTGTGTCTGCTGTAAAATGTTTTGTTATGCCATTTCATTGTATTGGCTCCTTTTATCATGTTGAGACAGTATTAACTCAGCAACAGAAATTCAATGACAAAGAAGTACGTTCAGAAGACTGCAGGCAAGATTGGTGTATATTGGAATAAAATGGCTTAAGATAGGGATTTTTTGTTTGGGTTTTTTTGGCTCTTTTAGTTTAGTTTTGTTTATTTTTTAGTTTTTAATCTCCTAAATACATTTGAAATGAGTCTTAGAGAGTTACGTACTAGCCTTAAGATAAATAAATATGTGTCTGTGAACAACTTTTCTGTACAGTTCAGTAGGCATTGGTAAGCTATTATTTAGAAATAACATGAATTGCACTTCAAAGAACCAGTTCACCTAAGCACATGCTGTTTTAAATAACAAAAATATGTATGCATTACTGCATAAGGAGATGACTAGATTTTTTTTTTTCCTTTTAGAGAATGGCTTAAAAAAATGCCTCTGTGATGGCGAAGAAAACAGTCTTAAATGAACGTGTTAGTACTCAGATAACAACATGTGCAGTCACTAGGATATTAGTGGAAAGATTGTACTCTTGGAGGGAAGAGAAGAAGGGGTAGAGAGGAGGTGCCTTTGATATCTGGGAGGAGGAGATAGGTAAAAATGAAGTGGAAGGATCAGGTGGCTCTAGCGTACAAGAAAAGTCAAGTCATGAGAAAGAGTGATAAATATAAATGCAAACTTGGAGGGTAAAGAGTCTGCACAAGAACTAGAAGCTAGATCAGATTTGTATTTCAGACTTAGATGAATGCATTATGTGGAACAGAATGTTCACATATTGGATTATGGAACTGTTATTCTGCTTGGCAGTTCTAGTGACAAACTACTTGTACATCCATGGAAATGCAAAGTTAAAAGGTAATCAACATCTAAACCACGTGAAGTATTTGTAGGAGAGTGGTTGGAGGGAAAATCTGAATTTCCTCTAAATAAAAAAGAAAAAAAATTATTTTGAAAGCATTGTTTGAGGCATTTAGATAACTAATCTGCTCTTACACAGCTTAATCATTTTCTTTGTTAAATAGCTATTTTAGTAGGGCAAAGTTAGCAAACCAAAATTATTTATCATCACTGTCAAAATTTCCTCTCAGCCCCTTAACTTACTTGTTAACTTCAGTTAATTTCCCAATTTAACTGAATGAAGAACTAATCCATTTTGTTCAGAAAAAAAATAGCTCTTCTGAGAAGAGTGAATAGCATTCCAGTTGTGTCCATTCCATGCAGAATGGTTGTGGAAATACAGTCTGAGCTATACTCTTCCTATGGAGGTTTTCTCAAAAATAGTTTGCATTTTTTTATTTCTATTATAGTGAGCCCTATCTAGTGTCCAGCGTTGGTTAATGCCTGTGGAATCAGAGCAGTGATTCCTACTGCTACTAATGATAGAGTATTATTAGGTTCGTTAAGAGTTAAGTCTCTCTTTATTAGTTGTATTTTTGAAAATTAGCATATTGTATTATCTTGACAAGAACTCGTATTTCAAAGGTGTTGCTTTGTAGTAGGTGTGTGCTTTTTTCTCCTCTTGCATTTTTTCAGATGTTTATTTATGTCTTTTCAAATAAATTTTATGAAGTCCGTATACCATTAATGTTTTAAGTTACGGCTTTTTAGGCAAGAATTTGAAATACTACATTACTGAGTGTTGACAGGAAGAAGGAAAAAAAAACAAAAGGAAATAACTTGATATTGGTTTATATTTTAAATTATGTTATGTGCCTGACCAAATTGAAAAGGAACAAACAAACTAACCAACCAAGCTAAAAGCTGAGCTAATACATCTTAGCCAATATGTAACAGGCAATTATGGTGTACCAGTGTACATGGATTGATCATACAGTGTTCTTAGGCTGTTCTGATATCTATGTAAAAGAAGATAAAATATCTGCTCTTGAGTTGGGGTTTACTTCTGAATTGTCTTGTTTTTGGTTTTAATCAGATGCTTAATGTGAATTATAGTAGTCATTTTTGTAGATGAACATTGTATAATTATACAGAGCACTACACAAATATATTGACTTGGTCTTTTGAAGGAATGGCCAGAAGGTTAGTGACTGAAGGGAGTTAAAGAAGCCAATGATACTAATAAGTAATCATTTTATACCCCTCAGTTTTGCATGGTAACCTTGAGCTTGCATCCTCCCACCAGAATTATCATTTTAGAAGGGGGAAAAAAAGAAAAAAAAAAAAAAAAAAAAATTACAGAGGAATCAGAGTGAGGTATTAGCACACTGAGTAAAATATATGGCTGCAACGCCTTTCTCCCCCATCCACAATCAATTGGATTCTTTTAGTTTAATATTTACTTGCTAAGATGAGATGCTAGTCTGCATGGTGATAAACAGTCTGCTACTGGCATCTGAAGGTGACCTGTCAGTTCATATGGACAAATCTCCTGCTTACTGAAATGTACAAAATAAATCATTAAAGCAGGCAGGTGCTCATTCCCAGATTTAAATCACCATAGATTTATGATTTGAATTAATGCTTCATTTGGTCATAGAAATAGATGCTGAGACAAATGATATGCAGTGGTTGGGGGCTTCCATACTGTAGCCATCCTAATATTGATTACTGAGATGTCTTTGCAATCTCTTGTTTATATCAAGTACTGTCTTGTGACAGCTTGGCTGATATGAGCTACATTGCAGATAAGAAGAAAAAATGTCCTGGGTTCTTTTTAGTGGCAATTCTACATGCAACATGCAGGATAGATAAATTATTGGGTTTTTGTTTAAAAAATGAATTCCATATGGCAGCAAACAAAAAAAGATTATACTGTGTGTTGTTTTCTTTTCTTTTTTTTTTTTTTTAATCCAGTTGTGGAATTGAAAGAAAGAGTGACAAGGTCAAACTTTAAATTTCATTGAAGAGGTTCTGCTCTTTGTCATATTAACATCTTAGGATGATATTAGGATCAGTTATGTATTTACTGTCTAATATTCCACAGTTATGGATAGGTAGAGCAGCTCAATTATTTCTTTGCTGCTTAAGTGCTTACTGCCCTGCTATCATACTTCATTAACCTGCAGCAGCAATGATAGAAGCCTTTGAAAGTAAATATGTTTAAAGCTATTTCTGTGAGCTAGGCTTTGCTATCTGTAACCTGGTAGGAAGTGAAGAACAGTCCATATACTTTTGCTTCCCGAACATTTTATATAATGAAAACACTATGCATATACTTCAGGGAATACTCAAAGGATTTGTAAAGACCTTTGCCACTTGCTAAAATCTGACTCATAAAACTTGTAAACAATTATCAACAATAGTAAATTACTTGCTTAGTAGGAAATGAGTTCATATCTATTCAAAATGTGATCTCAAAACAGATGTCCCAAGAAAATATCATTGTTTAAACTGCATTCATACAGAAAAAAATGCTATTATTTCTTTAAGGAAGTGAAGCAATCATGAAGACTTTGGTGTTCTCAGTTTCTAAACACAGTTAGGAAATACAAGGCAACATTTTACACTTGGCTAGCACGTTAATCCAGAAACAACCACAAAATGTGTTGAAAATTAAGAGGTTTTCTTGGCATGTTGGATTTCCTATTCATCTGCATTACCCTGCAATATTTAAAATTATGAGACAAACGCAAGGTTTCCTGTGATCTGTTGTTCAAAAGTAATGGTTGCTTGCATACTATTATTCTTTTTTTTTTTTTTTTCATCCTGAATCAGAGATAAAATGATTTAGGTGAAATTATTTTTCTCCAGTGACCTTGCCCAATAATAGAACAGTACAAAATGCAGTCATTTCCTTTTTCTAAACACACGTGTCTATTTTGAAGGAAAGAATTACTTTTATGGTTTCAGGAAAAAGTCTTGGAGACCTTGAAAAAGCAAATAAAAGGAAACAGAGAATGCAGGCCACTGAGCACAGCTCTGCAGTTGCACATCTGATTCTCTGCCTTGGCAATGTTAATGAACCTCAAATCCTCCCTATAATTAGATGAGGGAATTGCTTATATTTTCAAACAGACGATGCTGCTATAATGAAACGATTGACAGGGAACTTAAGAGTGTCTACAGTAGTCATTTGGTTTCCGGGTTTTGTTTTTTCTTCCTTTTTTTTTTTTTTTTCCTTTTCTTTTTTTTTTCTTCTGTAAAAGAAGATTGGGTGTAGATACAGGTCCTGGGAGAGGTAGTAATTTACACAGAATGCTATGACAGGTGTCTTTGTATAGCATGGAAATAAAATGGAAGAGAGAGGAATGATGGGCAGGTACAGCAGTTTTTTGGAGGGGGTGTC